AGAGTTGACAGCAACAAATTCCAAATACAAATAGCACACTTGAAATGAACTCTGGACCTTTTATCTGCTCATTGTAATTGGGATAATGAGGGAATAACACTCACCTGGCCATGGAACAGCTGAGAAGCCAATTGTCCCATTACTTTTGGTCCCTTAACAAGTGGGAGGCACATATGCAAACTGTTGTAATTCCTACACCGTTCATCTGATTTGGATGTAAATACCCTCAAATTAAAGCTGACAGTCTACAGTTAAAACACATTTTGTTCGTTTCATTTCAAATCCATTGTGGTGGTGTATAGAGCCAAAAATGTTAGAATTGTGTAGATGTCCCAATATTTATGGACCTGACTGTATGTGGCTTACAGCCAAGGTTAAAAAAAGCTATAGATAATAAGAAAAGAGCTTTTCTTAAATTTGAAAATGAAGGAACTCTATCATCGTTTAAACATTACAAAGAATATAACAGAATATGTAAAAAGGAAATCAAGGCCGCAAAAATTGAAAACAAACGACAGATTGCAAAAGATAGCAGGACAAACCCCCAAAAATTCTTCAAATATATTAATAGTAAAAAGGTCCGGTCTGAGCATGTAGGCGCTTTACCAAATAATCTAGAGGGGGTGACTGGGGACAAAGAGAAGGCAAGTTTATGAAATATCTTCTTCAGCTCTGTGTATGTAAAGGAGCATGGGGGAGCTCTTGTTCATAATGGGCATAGTATTGACACAGCCCCAGATGATCCACATTGACTCACAACTGATATGATCCAGATATAGACTGAATAAAGGTGAATAAAGCACATGGCATACACCCACGTTTCCTTAACCCCTTCACGCCGGCGCCTCCTGGCCCTGTAAGGTGTTTCTGATGCCGGGAGGTGGGGCAGGGCGGGGTTTAGGAACATGTTACCACGGTGATTGGCTGTCACGGCAGTCACATAATTGGAAAAGCCCCTAATGCAAGGAGAGATCGGGAGCTTTCAGTGGGACGCCGACACATGCTGGGAGCGTGCAGGATGCGCGTTCTCTGCACGTTTGTTTACAAATGGTACGCAACTATACAGCCACTCAGCATCAAGGCCCAGCCACCGACAGACTGCATATTTGCGTACGCTCGGCATGAAGAGCTTAAAGAATTGAGCTCTATCATTTCAAAGCCATTGTTTCTCATTTTAAGAACTCTTTAATGACTGGCATAGTACCACTGAATTGGTGTAAGGCCAATATGGTGCCTATATTTAAAAAGGGGTCAAAATCTTTACCAAGTATAGACCTGTTAGTTTAACTTCTATAGTTGGGAAGATACTGAAGAGTTTAATAAAAGACCACATAGATGAGTTCCTGCTGGAAAAAAATATTTTAAGCAACAGATAGCATGGATTCATGAAAGACAGAAGTTGTCAAACAAATCTGATTTCTTTTTATGAGGAGGTGAGCAAAACCTTGGACAGACAGAGGGGTGGCGGTGGACATGATATACTTGGACAGAGGGGTGACGGTGAACGTGGTATACTTGGATTTTGCAAAAGCGTTTGACACAGTTCCACACATGGCTAATGTGTAAGGTAAAGTCTACAGGCTTGGAAAAATCTGTATGTAAATGGATAGAAAACTGGCTAAAAGATCATATTCAGAGAGTAGTAGTTAATGATTCATACTCTGCATGGTCTAGGGCTGTCAGTGGTGTACCCCAAGGTTCAGTGTTGGGACCCTTACTTTTTACTATATTTATAAACGATATAGGGTCTGGGATTAAAGATCTCATTTCAGCCTTTGCAGATGACACCAAGCTGTGCACTGGAATAACGTCCTTACAGGATGTCTCCAATTTACAAGCCAACCTCAATGCGCTGTTTAATTGGGCAACTATGTGGCAAATGAGGTTTAATGTTGATAAATGTAAGGTTATGCACTTGGGGGCTAAGAATATGCATGCATCATACATACTAGGGGGGGTACAACTGGGGGAATCAATGGTGGAGAAGGATCTGGGAGTTCTGGTAGATCACAAGCTTAATAATGGCATGCAATGCCAAGCTGCGGTTTCTAAAGCGAGCAAAATTCTCTCTTGTATTAAAAGAGGTATAGAGAGAGATATCATATTACCCCAGTACAAATCATTAGTAAGACCTCATCTGGAATATGCAGTTCAGTTTTGGGCACAATTCACATAAAGAACATTGGGGAACTGGAGAAAGTATAGAGAGGGGCAACCAAACTGATAGGAGGCATGGAGGAGCTCAGCTATGAGGAAAGATTAGAGGAACTGAATTTATTCTCTCTTGAGAAGAGGAGATTAAGGGGGGATATGATCACCATGTATAAATACATCCGTGGTTCATATAGTGAACTCGGTGTAGAGCTATTCACCCTGAGGTCATCACAGAGGACAAGGGGGCACTCTTTATGTCTGGAGGAAAAGAGATTTAATCTCCAAACACGGAAAGGTTTCTTCACACTGAGAGCTGTGAAAATGTGGAATAGACCCCCTCAAGAGTTGGTTCTGGACAGCTCAGTGGATTGCTTTAAAAAAGTCCTGGATTTTTTCCTAGCTACACAGAATATAACTGGTTAATAATATTTATAGGTAAAGTTGATCCAGGGAATATCCAATTGTCTCTCGGGGGATCAGGAAGGAATTAGTTCCCCTGCAGGAGCAAATTGGATCATGCTTTGCTGGTTTTTTTGCCTTCCTCTGGATCAACTGTGGGTATAGGATTATAACTTTTTTCATGGTTGAACTAGATGGACTTTTGTCTTTTTTCAGCCAGACTAACTATGTAACTATGTTTAATGCAGCAAAAAGCAGTTTCAAAAACAACTGTGAAATCATTTCACAGCAACAGAAAGAATCAAATGAATTAAAGGTTAACTGCAGGATAAGAACATATTGTTTAAATACAAGAGTCATATGTATTTTACTTGAATTTTGGAGTGCTTTGTGTATTTCTTCCAGATCTCTGCAGTAGTCCAGTGTGAAACTTTCCCTCTGTGCAGGAGTTTCCTGTAATAAAGACCAGTCGCTCCTTCTCTCTCTCCTTGTGAGCAGGGTGACTGGTCTTGTCTCCTCCCCTCATGTAGTTTTCTGCAGGCAGCCTGTAGTGGGTGGGGCCTGCTGGCTCCCTCCCACAGCTCTGCTCTCTGCCCAGGCTATATACAGCACAGATATCATATAAAAATAAAAATATAAATGTTATTATGACCACACAGAAATCTAAAAAGTAACTCTTCAGAGGTGCAGTACTTCATCCTCAGAAGCTCAGGAGATTAGAGTGCAGGTAAATTCTGCAAACATTTTGTAAGTGAAAGTATTGAAGGTTTAATTTTTCCTTGTTTGCTTATATAGAGTATGGAAGAGTTAAACCCCGGTAAGGTTTATTTGAACTTTCTTCATTTCCTGTCCCAGAGAAACAACAGAAAGTAAGATAAAATCCCAACAAAGTGAGGGGAAATCCTCTGTCATGGGAAGATTTCCCCTTTAATCCTGTTCTGGTGACCACTCAAAATGATGGATTTCTGAACGGCAGTGTTATTGAGACAGAAAGTGAATGGGAATTCAAAATGTTACAGTGGTCACCAGAACAGAGATCTTCCAAAGGAGACTTCTGTACCAGTCACAACTGCCCAAGCAGGTATTCAGGGCCATGGAGCATCATTGCTGCATAAATTCCAGTATATATATATATATACCAGAGTTTTTAGATACTATAACTTTTGCAGAGAACTATTAATATACCCTTATTAGGATTTTTTTTTTTTTACCGAAGACATAAAGCAGAATACATTTTGGCCCAAATTTATGAAGACATTAAAATTTTTATTTTTCTATTTTATATGTTTTAAACTAGAAAATAGAAAATATTGGGGGGGTTTTCCTAAAAATTTTCCAGACTTTTTTGTTTATATACTGAAAAAAGAAAAAACCCAGTGGTGATATTTGTGTGAAAAAAATTATATAAATTTCATTTGCGTACAGTTGACACAGTTGCGTACAGCTGACACAGTTGCATACAGTTGCGTACAGTTGACATACAGTTGCGTACAGTTACAGTTGCATAAGTTGACACAGTTGCGTACAGTTGACACAGTTGCATACAGTACAGTTGCATACAGCTGACACAGTTGCGTACAGCTACAGTTGCGTAGTTGCGTACAGTTGACACATGCAGTTGCGTACAGTTGACACAGTTGCGTACAGTTGCATAACTTGACACAGTTGCAGTTGTGTACACAGTTGCGTACAGTTGACACAGTTGTACAGTTGCCTAAGTTGACACAGTTGCGTACAGTTGACACAGTTGAACTGGTGCAGTTGCCAGTTAAATAGAACACAGTGCTGAAGAGCAAAACATGCCCTGGTCATGAAGGGGGTAAAATCTTCTGGAGCTCAAGTGGCTAAAGAACGCTGGAAACAATTTTTTTTTTGTTGACAATTTAAAACCATGATTTTTCTTCTTTGTAAAGCGCATCCTACAGCAAGAATGACTCTGCATCATGTGTATGAATCTGGTAGATTTTGAAAATATATAAACTGCTGTATCCTATTCTCTTTGTATTGTTTCCTTTGTGTGAAATCCCTGGTGTTCCTGCCATTCCCTCTGCTTTCCTATTAAAAACTGAGTGCACTAGGCTGAAAAGCAAAGCATGGTTAGTTCTGTAGCTGTGCTGGAACTCAGCCTGCTCTCCTCCAATGATTCACTGGGAAGTTTAGTGTATTGTTGTTTCCTCCTCCCAGCTTTCTGTTCAGGTGCATAAGGAGCTAAGAGGGTATGTGATCACTTATAAAACAGGAAAAAAAGGTATTTATAATTTTTTTTATATCTATACACAAATTTTTCACCTTTCATTTCTACTTTAACCGCCTCCTGCCTCCCTGCCATATAGCACAATGACGGGTGCAAGGCGGTTCTCTTGTTCTGGGAGGACATCATATGACGTCCTTCCATTCTAACCGTGCATACGCGGCTCAGGGAGTGCGCAGCGCGTCGATCTGCGGTGCGATCAACGGAAAGAGCCGAAGATGTGGCTCAGTCATGTGATCAGCTGTGTCCAATCACAGCTGATCACATGTAAATAGGGAAATGCCGGTTATCTGCATTTCTCTCCTCACGAGCTGTCACGCTGACAGCTTGAGAGAAGAGGAAAGCCGGTAATCGGCATCCCTCAGAGGGGACATGTACACTGATCATTAGGGCACTGATGATCAGTGTGCCCTGATGATCTGTGTAGCCCCAGCAGTGCCACCTGCCAGTGCCCATCAGTGCACATCAATGCCACATATCAGTGCCCATCTGAGCTGCCTTTCAGTGTCACCCATCAGTGCCAGTCAGTGTCACCTATCAATGCCAGTCAGTGCCACCTATCAGTGCTGCCAATCAGTGCCACCTATCAGTGCCGCCTATCAGTGCCATTCAGTACCGCCTATCAGTGTGCATCAGTGCCGCCAGTCAGTGCCACCTAAAAGTGCCAGTCAGTGCCGCCTATCAGTGCCGCCTATCAGTGCAATATATGAGTGCTGCCTTTCAGTGCTCATCAGTGATGCCTGTCAATACCCATCAGTGCCACCTACCAGTGCCTCCTCATCAGTGCCACCTATCAGTGTCCATCAGTGCAGCCTATCAGTGCTCATCACTGCAGCCTCATTAGCGTACATCAATGAAGGAGAAAAATCACTTATTTACAAAATTTTATAACAAAAACTAAGAAAAAACTTTTTTTTTCAAAATTTTCTGTGGTTTTTGGTTTATTTAAGAAAAAAAATAAAAAACCCAGAAGTGATTAAATACCACCAAAATAAATCTCTATCTGTCCCAAAAAAATATAAAAATTTCATATGGGTACAGTGTTGCATGACCGCGCAATTGTCATTCAAAGTGCAAACAGTGCTGAAAACCGAAATTGGCCTGGGCAGGAAGGGGGTACAAGTGCCCTGTAGACTAGCGGTTAAACTGAATGGGTTGTTTTACAAAGTGAGGGTTCATATACTTTAAGTGGCTACCTCACATAAAAAAAAAAAAAAACAAAATTCATGAGGTCCCCCACGAAATCCATATCAGACCCTTAATCTGAACATGCATTCTCTCTGTGATATCAGTTGAAGTTTCAGGTCCTACTCTGCATTAATTTATGAATGAGAATTAGGCTCCATTCACACTCGTGCAGCTTCAAAATTGTGCGATTTTACAGTGTGACATGATGCAGCTCTGGATGTGTGCGACTTTAGTTACAACTTTGGCTTTGACCAAGGATGATTGTTTATGCTCTACAAAGTCGCACACAAGGTGCATGTATAATATTCAGGTGAGACTTTCATGCGTTGGAGAGTTTACATTGAAGCCCTTCAAGTTGCATAAAAGTTGGAACAAAGTTGTGCAGGAACTACTTTCAAGTTGCTGCAACTTGAAGTTGCACAGATATGAACGGTTCTCATTGGGAAACATGGGGTGCAACCCCAAAGTCGCATGACAAGTTGCACAAGTGTGAATGGGCTCTTACTATTTTACTATTGTTACTCTTGTAGCTTTCATGTATGAATTGATATTATATGTAAGTACATAAGAAAACCTTTTTTAAAACATTTTAGCCCGATATTAATCCTTCTTTAAAATGGTTTGTACCAGAAACATGATTCTAGTGCCTTTTTATGCGCTTGCATTCATGATTTGCTTTTTTAGGTGCTTTTTTTTGCTCACTTGAATGGGCTGTTCTGCTCACAACAAATATGCCAAAATATCTCCCGCACCTTTTTTTTTTGGCAGTGAGCCAAGCATGTGTTGGGATGCGCATTTTGGTGCATTTTTCATACAATAAACATGCAAGAAAAAAAAACACAAGATGTGTGTGTGACGAACGCGGGATCGCTGCCACCAATATGTGACGATCCCACGATCACTGTCACCAATATGTGACAACCGCGGTGTCAGACCCCAGCCCTTCTCACCAAACTCGTGACCGAAGGACTAGCCAATCTAAAACTGCGATGTCACGTGCGTAACAATGCCACACCCAGCTGCACCCTGCACAACGATTTTCCAGCTAATTGAACCACAATCCATGTACCGGCATCCTGAGCTATTGTTACTGGGTCAGGTTAATTACGCAATTAACCCTTCACACTGCCACCACCTCCTTTTTGTACAGAGAAAGAGGAAACTCGGCGATATCAGCAATAACATTATAATGGTTGAGGTAATCGTCTGGATAACACGGTCACCGCAGGCCGGTTATACAGAGGGTTAAACAAACACAGTAGCATTCTCTTTAGAGGCAGGAATTCGTAAATTGCAATTAAGAGCTATAGAAACAGTTCAACACTTTCAGAAGGAAAGATTTATTACTGAGAAGTCAAAAGGGGGTGCAATAAAATATTTATAGAACAAAGATGTAACCAATATATATATAAATATACAGAGAACAACAGCACAGCAAAGAGATAATAGAAAGGAGGTTAGGGGGTTTAAAGTACTTGCCAATCAGCCTTGGGTTTGCAGATCGAGTTTCAGAGTGAAAGGTTACGGGTCTCCCCAGGTGGGTCTGATGTTAAAAATGGGAGACTTCTTCAACTCTACTCTGTTAGGCCTGATAGCCCAATTAGTAGTGCCCCAGCAGGGGGTGTCTCTGAAGTCCAGGACCAATACCCCGTTTAGGGCGTGGAGGTCTGGGCGTAGCCCTAAACTAGAACCAAAATCTCGTGTAGTTCATATTTTGGCTCATAACTTTTCCTATTCACAAGTGACATTCCACTCGCGGGTATGATGCAGACACGTCTGAGGATTGATTAGATATGAAATATGAAATTATACACTGAACAGTTCACGGGATCTACTTTTCGGCTTTCCTATGTATTCGAGACAAGACGAGTGACCTATCAAACTGTTCGCCTCCTCTTGGCCAATCTGACGATATGCCTGGTTTTTATGTAAGTCTCTCATATTCCAAGATATGAGACATAGGGGAAAAATGGATTTTTAAAAAGGTTATCTAGTGTGCTTCCTTGGAATGTCTTTTGAACTCCTGGGAAGGCTGCGTTATCTTTTTATGAGGTGCTAAATTTTACAGGTTCTTTGGACAGTGAGGCCCCAGCTCCCTTGGGGCTTTATAGCACGTAGCCCCCCTGTTGGGCTCTGGCCTGTGACACTTTTAACACACACACTCTGCCATATGTCACTGTGCCTCTCAGAGAGGGAGGGGGGAAAGAATGAGGGGAGAAAATGGAGATTCTTAACAAAATGGAAGCTGCGTCCTGCCTCTGTTGTGCACGTTCACAACAGTGTGTAGGGTGTCATTAGGAAATAACAGCACTGCAGGCATTATGTGTGCTTTGGTGCATTTTTGTGCGTTTCCGAAAACTCTAACAAACGCTCGTTTCCAAACATTTCTATCCGCTTTCCCAGAACACCCGGGTGTGAATGTAGCCTAAGGACTTGTTCACACTTGACAAAATTTCTAACTCTTCAAAAACGCCCCTATAGTGTTATTATGGATTTTAGACAGGCGTTAATGAGCTTTAGTATGGGCATTTTACAGCATTAAAAACGCTGCCCAAATGCCCTATGCGCTATTTTGAGCCATTTTACAAATGTCTATAATAAATGCCTATAATAAACTCCTATGGTATTAACGCGCCGCAACGGTACTGCAAACGCCCCGCAAATGCCTGCCAGAGCGTTTGAGGAGCGTCACCATAGACTTGAATGGAAGGCATTGAAAGGCTTCAACTCCTGACTTGATATAAGGCTTCAATTTTGAAACGACGCTAACGCTTAATGTTTTGATAATGTGAACAGCACTGTGTGCTGCCCATAGTTCCTTTTTCATAGATGTTTGAGGAGCTTTAAAAATGCCCCTCAAACGCCTGCTTTCAAAGCCAGTGTGAACTAGGCCTTAGTGACACAATTTTTTTGTTTTTTTTTACAGTAGCTGTTTTAACTTATTTTAATCACAAAGAATCAGAGAGTTCCGATCATGTGATGTGGTGATTTTGTGTACTGTCATCTTATTGTATTATCTCTATACAGATCCTGATTTATTTTTGTTTATGAATTTTGATACTTTGTATTACGATAACATAAACCTTTTCTGTGTTACATCAAACTGGAAGGTACAAAAGATATTTCAGTTACAGAAAATAGGTAAAATATGAGGCATGTGTTTTTTCTTCAATTTCAAAAGGGGCTTTCCAAATTCCTGACTAAAGATTTCTACACATCCTATTATTAAATCCAATGCCCTTCGTATGTAACTTCCTCCTGTGGTTGCAAATATGAGACATGTATCTCTGTTGCCTCGAGACAGTGCTTGGCTCTATTCTCTGCCATTTGTCTTCCAGGGAAACCTGTACTGGAGAATAGAAAGTCATGGCTGGAAAGCACAGGAGGATGTTCAAGTCTGGGCTTGCAGAAGATGGACTAAGGAATTGTCTACATTTATGCATTGCAGTAACGCACATCATTGCACACCTTTCTGAAACGCATGAACACGTTCCATATACTGCATGCATCGAGGTGGTGCAGCACTATTCATTTTTAACAAACACATTAGGTAATGTACCTGTCCACAACACATCAAAACGCACTACTAATCCATTGCAGTGTCCTGCGTTAATAGACACAGAAGGGTTAGAACCCCTGTCATGTTTTTATTGCTGTATCCCCTTTTGGGGGATTCGTTCTCTAGATTTGTCCTGTTTGTAAGCATGTGCTTCCAAGGGGTTTCTTTTTCTATGCTGACTCAAGTTTTGTAGTTATCTGGGTCAAGTCTGAAGTTTCCTGTGAACTGTCACAATGTTGACCTGCTAAATGGATGGGTCCAGGAGGAAGGGGTTAATGTTGCTGGCCAAGTTTTCCTGCCAAAACTCTGAGATCGCCCCCTTCAGGTCATCCCAAAAAAATAAGACTCCTGGGAGTCTCCCTAGATAGCTCCTTGTTGAATCACTACCAAAATGTAGGCTAGCTGGAGGCTGGCCAGGCTAACCCTGAGAAGACGGGATCCTTGGGATTTGCTACACTTTTAGGGCACCTAGTATGGACTGATTGCCTTTAACCCTTTTGCTGCCAGAGCCGTTTTTGCACTTTTTGCACACGTTTAAAAAATAATTTTAGGCCTAAAGATTGCATAAACCCCCAAAACTTTATATATTGTCTGAAAGCAGACACCCTAGAAAATAAAAAAGCGGTTGTTCCAAATTTTTTTTTGTCATACAATATTACTGCGAAGGTCTAAGAAATGCAAAATTCCTACACTAAAGTTAATTTTAGGGCACACAAACACAATAAATTACCCAGATTTTTGGTCAAATCTAAAAGATGAGGTTGCACCGAGTAAATTGATACCCAACATGTCAAACCTTAATAGGTGACACTTTAAATGCCCCCTATAGGTCATCAGTTTAGTGTTACAGAGGAGGTCTGGTGCTAGTAATATTGCTTTCACTCCAGCGTGTGCATCGACATGTAACGTGTATTCCAATCAATGTTTTCAGGTGTCCTGGTGTGTGCGTTTTTACATTCATTCATGCGTATATGTGGGGGTAGAGGGGCCTCAAAAATTGGGTGGGGGGGATTTTTAATGCTTAGGTGTAGTTTTAATTTTTTACAATTAAAAAAACATTTTTTACTTAATTTTTTTTTCATCA